ATACGGCGACATTTTATATCTGTACTAGCTGTGGCCCGCGACTCCGCCCACGTGGAATTAAAAAAAAATGTTCTATATGAATCGCAAATTTCAGAGATATCTATGCAGCAGTTCCGGAGATATGTTCAAACAAACATACATCCGTCTGAACATCGCATTTATTTTACTTCTTACTAATATCATATATATAAAATTCTCGGGTCACAATTTTCGTTCCCATTCTCATCCGAAACGGCTTGACCGATTCTCATGAAATTTTGTGAGCATATTGAGTAGGTCTGAGATTTGGTCAACATCTATTTTTAATCACGCGCGGACGGAGTCGCGGGCGATAGCTAGTTATATATATCTCCAGATCGGGTGCATGGATCGTTGCTATTTACTATAGATGTAGAACATAGTTTGGAAGAACACATAGGCTACTTTTTAACTTTTTTTAATTCCGCGCGGACGGTATAGCGGGCGACAGCTAGTAATATTATAAGTAAGATGTATGGTAAGATGAACAGTCTTAGTTGAGAATTCATTACTTTGTCGGGGTTGTAATAATTGAAATATGGAAGTTTACATCTGTCAGAACATAGGGGAACGTGAGTCTGTCGCTTGATCAATCTCCGCAAGCAATCAGTCGACGTCTACAGATTGAAGATCTGCCAATCGCATATTCCTCAGTAACGTTTGATTCAAAGTTAAAATTATCCACGAAGGAAATAGAGGACTTACAGAATTTCTTGTTATTGATTGGGAATTATGAAGTGGAATGAAGAACATTATTGCAGAATTTTTTATTTATTTCTGTAAACAGTATTAAATTATTTTAATATATTTTTTGAACATTGGCAACCTGTATTTTTATTTTGCGTTTCTTTTTAATAGTTTCCAAGACCAATAACCTCGTTGAAAACATATTGTTATCTCTGTTTTGTCAAAGATAATGACAGGGATGACGATATATTTTATACAGAGATTTTGATCTTAGAATTCAATAGTTAGTTGTTTTCTTTAAGCACACGTCCTTTTTCTTTTAATAAAATATTGCTAAGCTACATCGAGACGATGCCCTGATTACGTCGAAGTTGGCTTTCCTCCAATAAGCCTGTTGATTGCATTGTAAGTACCTTCCAATGTTTACTAAGTCTGCAGGCTTCACGTTTTTCATTAGCTTGTAAAGTTATTGGTTTAATTACGTGGATAAATTCGCATATTGTGATTTTGTATACGTCATATTAGAGTGTACTTAAGTTGGGATACGACATACTGGGTCACTATAACTTAAGTTATAGTAAATGATATTTATAAAGATTTTTTATTTCGTTACTAGCTAAATAATAAGAGTAAAAAAAACAACTAAATAAGTAGCTTATATGTTGTTTCACTATATTTATTCTACACCCGTGTCAAATTTCGTCAAACTCCGTTCTGGAGATACCTTTAACAAACATCCATCCATCAGTCTAAACTTTCGCATTTATATTAGTAGGATTTTACTGTGGTTTATTAAAAACAAAATAAATTCGATGTGGAAAGTCGGCAATAAACCCTTTACGCCTGAGCGTGGATTGACGATGAAAAAGACAAAGTGCTGCAATAATTCACCTTTACATTTCCACGTGGATTCATTTCTCGCTTCGCTGGTGTTTCTAATTGAAAGACCGTTTTATACGCGGTATAACACAACGAATAAAAATTCATATCTTAATAAAATAAATAAAATAAAATAAAATAAGCCTTTATTGCTGTTCTAAATAATACAATAATTTTGGAATTTACAATGAAAATGCAAGATCAGAATGATAGATTAGAAAACAAAAGTTATACAATATTAATCACTAATCATAAAATCACATCTAACCGTCCTGCAGTTCTCTTGCAATGTAATCTACTCATCGGCAAGCGGATGCTCCCGACCTCGCAAAACAGCTTGTCTTTCGACAAAGGCCTCCTCTAATGTTCTCCACTTCTCTCTATCTTTTGCTATGCGGGTCCACTCTGGGCCTGCAACTTTTTTAAAATCATCCTCCCATCTTTTATATTGTCTTCCCCTGTTTCTTTTACTTTCCCGTGGGTACCACCCAGTAATATCTTTAGTCCATTTTTCCTTTTTTTCTCGAAGCATATGACCTGTCCATCTCCACTTTAATTTCCTAGTAGTTGTGAGAGTGTTTTTAAATTTAGTTTTCTTCCTTATTTCTTTTAATGGCATTTTATCTTTTCTTCTTGCTCTCACTACGCTTCGTTCTATTCCATTCTGGCAAATTATTAGTTTATTTTGTAGTTGTTCTGTCAATGCCCATGTTTGGCAGCCATAAGTCAAACAGGGTAGTATACATACATTAAATACTTTTCTTTTTTCCTTAATAGGCATATCTTTGTTTTTCATGATTTCACTGAGCGACCAGAATTTCTTCCAAGTGTTAGCAACCCTTCTCTCTATTTCCTTTTGCATTAAATTTTCAACTGAAATTAGTTGTCCTAAATATACGTATTCTTTGACTTTTTCTATTTCTTGATTATTAATTTTGATTACAAAGTTTTTCGTCGTGTTACTCATTACTTTAGTTTTTGAGATATTCATTGTAAGGCCTGCTAATGCGCTTTGATCTGATAATTGTTGTAGCATTTTTTGTAGTGTATTGGGGCATTCGGAAAACAAAATTAGATCATCTGCAAAGCGAAGATGATTAAGATTCTCTCCATTTATATTAAGGCCGTATGAAGACCATTCTAAGTTTCTGAAAATCATTTCTAATACTGCTGAGAACAGTTTAGGGGATATAGGGTCCCCCTGCCGAACTCCTCTTCCGATCGGAAATTCTTCGCCTAGGGACTCCATTCGTACTCGTGCCGTGCTCTTAGCGTATATGTTTTTAATTATTCTTATGTATTTCGCCTGAACGCCTTGACGACCTAGGGCTTCCCATATATATTTGTGTTCTAATGTATCGAATGCTTTGTTGAAATCGACAAAACCTAAGTAGTAGACTTTGTTATATTCTCTGTATTTTTGAAGAATCTGTCTTAACACATGGATGTGGTCTATGGTAGAGAATTTGCTGCGGAAGCCGGCTTGTTCTTTTGGTTGATTGTCATCAAGTACTGCAACAATTCGTGAAAGTAATATTTTGGAAAAGATTTTATAAATATTGGTCATTAAACTTATTGGTCTGTAATTCGCGATATCCCCTTTACTACCTTTTTTTATGTATTAGTACTATTACTGATTTAGTCCAATCATCAGGCACAGTCTCTAGATTTAGAATTTCATTAAAAATTTCAGTTAATCTTCCGGCGGTTACTGATAATGTTGCTTTCAAAATTTCATTAGTAATTTGGTCCGATCCCGGTGCTTTGTCAAGTTTTTGAGATTGAATAGCTCTTATAGTTTCTTCCTTCATTATCTTTGGTGTTGGTTCGTCATCTTCCGCTGTTATGTTTAGTTCTGTTGTTATTAAAACGGGGTTTCGAGTCTTATACAAATTCTTGTAGTAATCAGTGGCGACTTTTAATATTTCTAATCTCTTAGTGGTATATGTTCCGTTATTAGTGTTTGCACTCGCCATCCATTCTTTCTTGTTGTCTAATTCCTTATATCCCTTCCTTACACCTCCTGTTCTTATTATGTGTTGTTTCAAAGTATTTGTTCTTTTTATTTTCCTATCCTTTCTGAGCTGTGCACTAATCTTTTTACTTAACTCTGATATCTGTTTGCGTACTTCTCCCTTCTTTCCACTTCGTATAAGATCTTTCCTCTCCTCTAGTAGTTGTTTTGCTTCTTTTGAAATAGATTTTTTCATATCTGCGGCCGATTTCGTTACAGAAGTTTTTAATATGTTTATTAAACTATCATATTTTCCTTGCATTGACATACTAGGTTTGTCATTCTTTATTATTTCATTTTGTAAGTTATTAAGGAAATTATCATTATTATTGTTAGGAAAGATGGTGGGTAGGATTTTTCTATAAAATTTTCTACTCGTTTTATTAATATCTGCTGATAATATGGCCCTAACCATTTTATGGTCCGTATTAAAATTTAGATTATTTATGACTGAAACATCTTTAAAAACTTCTTTATTATTTGACATTATAAAATCAATTTCGTTCTTATACATTCCATTAGGAGATGTCCATGTCCATTTCTTTGTTTTCTTCTTTTTGTAAAAACTATTTAAGATGCTCAGTTTGTTTTCTAATGCAAAGTTTACTATTCTCGATCCATTCCTACTTCTTTTCCCTATACCATATTTTCCTACTGTATATTCTTCGCCCACCTGTCTTGTTCCAATCTATCCATTGAAATCGCCCATAACGATAACATTTTTGTAAGCGGTTTCAAGTGTTGTTTGTAGTTCTTGGTAGAATTGGTCAGTTATTGCAATATCTTCTTTCTTATCCGATTCTGTAGGTGAGTACGCTTGAATAATCGACCATGTTTCATATCTTTTCCTATTTGTGGGTAGTTTTATGTTGAGAACTGCTATTCTTTCCGATATTCCTTTTATCTCTATTATGCTTTTTGATAGGTTTTTCTTAATAATAAACCCTACTCCATATAGCCCTGCGGTTTCACCTTTGTAATGTAGAATATAGTTGTCGTAGTCGATAATTTTTTCTCCCAGTCTTCTTACTTCGCTTATTCCTAGGATATCACATTTTATATGTTCTATGGCTGTTTCTAATTCTATAAGTTTTTCCGGGGTTCTTAGTGATCTTGTATTGAGAGTTGCTATAAATATATCTGATGAATGTTTTTCTGTCTTTCCTTCTATTTTTAGAGGGTCGTGGTCGTTAGCCCCCACGAGGACCAGTCGGTTTGGGGGAGATTTGTGTTCATTAATTGATTTAAATGTTTTATTGTCATCGCTAAGTCTCGTTTTCCGTTTGCCGATGTTTAATTGTAATTGATTTTTTGTTGCGGGTGAGTTAGGAAAAGAGTTTGATCTAGCTCTCATCATATCAAAAGCGTTTGTCCTGTTCGTTTTGATGGAAGATAAAGCCTGTTATTTATTCGGATGGCTAACATGAGTAGAAGGCGAGACGGATGTTTCTCTTTTTCTTTTTTCTTTGTTTGTATTGTGGTCTTTTACTATTAATTTATCATATTTTATGTATGCTATTTTTCCCTTATTACGTTCTTCAATTAGTTCTACTTGCAACGCTTTCCTCTTCTCTAAAACTTCTTTTGGATAGTCTTCATTTACATAGATATTTTTCAATTTCTTTTTATTCTTAATGATTTCGTTCTTTTTCCAGTTGCTTGTAAACGAACAGATTATAGGCCTCGGTTTATTACCTTCTCTTAATTTCTTACCGATGCGATGTATTTTATTAATATCGCGTGGGTCAATATCAATATTCGTATCATTTTTAAAATTATTCTTGACCTCTTCCAATAGTTCCAGATCCGATCTTTCGTTCTCTTCCACACCGTAAACAATAATATTATTATTTCTTTTGTCTCTATTTAAATACTCAATTTCCTTCTCCAACTTTTCTACTCTAAGTCTTAATGTCTTGTTTTCTTCTATAATGGGAGTTAATTTTTCCTCCATATGTTTCATTACATTTTTTGTTATCGATTCTTTTAACTCTGCAGTTTGGTTCTGCATTTCGACCTTCATTTTATCAAACAGAATTTGAAATTGCCCTTCCATATTATATAATCGTTAAATTGGTAAAACGCAGCAAGTAGATGGCAAGTATGTATAATTAGCGACGTGCGTAACAATTATTGAAACGGAAAACTAGGTAGTGACAGCTTAGTGTTTTCTATGTTTCATGTTTTGTCCGCCTTTGGATAAAATGATCATTTATCGCATTATGAGAGTTTGCAGCTAAATTTTCTGTAGGCGCTATAATATTTTTCTCGAAGTGGGTATTGTCCAAAAACTAATTATTTTTAATTGTCATTGTGCACAATTTATTTGTAAACAAACACAAATATTAACACTGTATGTCCTAAATTTAAGCACTTATGAGTTTCGTTGATCCTAATTAGACACAAAATTGTTGATTTAAACGATAATAGTCAGTTTACACAATGTTCTGCGAGTTAAAACTGGGCATAATATAATGTTGTTTATAAGTTGTTTCACTATTTTGTTTCTTCAGAAAACATTCTCACTGATAAATCGTTGTCTAATTTGTCTATTTATTACACTTTTCCACTGTATTATTCACTTTGCGATTTTTTAATGCGTATTCTATACGTAGGTTATGCGTATGCGGCACCTGACCTAACTATCTTCAAACTAATCTATCTTAAATAGACACACTATAGTATACCGATTTTGATAATTATTTCTTTGTTTGAATGATGAGAGGTTATCTGCTGCATTCTAAATGAGTTTTTCTATTTAAGCATTATTTATCAAATAGGAAAGTCCTTCGTTTGTAATATTTCCGTCCCTATATGTATAAAGAAAATTAGTAATCGAACATCAAATTCACTAAATGTCAAGAAATAAACAAAAATTTTAAGAAAAAAAGAAAACCGACTTCAAAAAAATCCCAAACAAAATGCACTAAAAAGTAACAAAATAAAGTCGAAAGTAAGAAAATTCTCTTCTTTCTTGTAATATGTCTATAACGTACAATTATTGTTATTTTGGAGTTGGTTTCGGCCTAGATGGGAACTTTATCGTAACTAGGTTTAAGACATTTCAGATATAAAATGGTGCCTGCAGAGGTAGTTTAGTGAAATCTTCCTCGGCCGATTTTTTTTACGTCGGTTTTATTTCTTTCTTAATTTTTTTTAATATGAATAAAAGTTTAAGTTATCAAAATTTCCGTAACTTTGGATTTTAATCTAAATATTTTTTACTCCTGTAACGATTGAGATAAAGGCATTAGTCTTAAATGAGGCTTTCTACCGACAATAGAGACCCTAAAGTCTGTAATTATAACATCGTTAGAAATGAGAGGACCGGCGCCCCAGGCGGTGGTACTGTTATTTACTATAAAAAATCCTGCACTGTGTACCCACTGTGTACGCCCGCGTTAACTCATCTAGAGGCATCGATCTGTCATCTAGCCATGACTGGCCTCGCCCCCATTACAATAGCTTCAGTTTACCTTCCCTGTAGATCAAGCGCAACCATATTACGCTTCGACTTTTTTTTATATAAGAGAAGGAGGCAAACGAGCGGCGGGAACACCGAACGCTTTGAATCCCTTTTATCTCTAGGAGGAGCCACCATCCTTGCAGGTGATTTCAATAGCAAGCACATTCTATGGAACTCTACTAGAATCAGTAAACGCGGCCATGTGCTTGACGCACTGTCGGAACTACTCGATTTTGAATTCATAGCGCCAATAGAGCCCACTCACTATCCCCATACATTGGGATACACAGGATCACTAATAAACAAATCTAATCATTAACAATATTAACCTTACCTTACGTAATATTGAGGTGATACGTGAACTCCACTCGGATCACCGAGTTCTGCTGCAGCTAGGGCCCTCCGCACCGGCTGACCCTCAAATTAAAACAGACGTTCATTCCCGACCTAATTAACACCTATAATAATATGGGCACCGCGATCAGCTCTTTAACAAGTCATTTCCAAACCACCATCGAGGACTGGTCAAGGCTGATGCCAGAGTTAGACAACCAACGCTGGGCACCCGAGCTCACGATTTGTATCCCACCGAATCGAACCGAAAACATCTACGTAAATTACAGCGTTAAGTAAAAACATGCATAGCTGCTATCCGGAACGAACGGTTGGATTCAACACTTCGAAATTTAAAGCCATCCTATTTAGCCTTCTGGCGGCTTCCCAAGTCACTTAAAGGAGACACGTACTCAACAATGCCGCCACTCTCTCGTCCAAACATTATACCAGCCATGCTGAATGAGAAGAAAGCCGAGTGTCTGGCAGAAGGATGCCGAAGTCATACGTTTCCCCAAACCCTCAAAGCCGCCTACAAATCCCACTTCATATCGCCCCATGAGCCTTCTCAAAACCTTTGGGAATATTTATGCACGACTAGTTTTAACCCGTCTTCGTTCCTTTATGGATACGAAAGGCATGCCCATTGCCGAAAAGTTTGGATTTCGCGTCGAACACTCATGCACTCATCAGGTGCACCGCATCACGGAACACATTCTTGCCAAAGCCAACGCGGCCTTAATACCGGAGCTCTCTTTCTCGACGTAGCTAAAGCGTTCGATAAATTAAGTCACAACAGGCTCATATGCAAGCTATATGAGAACGGAGTACTCGACCGTCTCGTATGAATAATACGAGACTTCCTATGTGACCGCACGTTCTGCTATCGAGTCGAGGGAGTGTTTTCTCAATTGCACCACGGCTCGAACGGGGTAGTAATGTTAGATGTATATTAATACATCTATTATATATCTTGATCGGTTGCTATTATCTGATTGCTATTAAGCAATCAGATAATAGCAACCGATCAAGCCGAGGTTCAGCCCTCTCGGGGACCCTTGAATCGGAATGCTTAAGGCGTAATGAGTGACAGCCCAAGCCGAGGTCCCCTGTCGGGTGCCCAGACACTCCATGGAGTGTTCACCTAAGCGATTGTTACTCTTAAACGAGGCTCAGAGACCATCTGCGCTCGGCTACCTTGAGTCCGTTGAAGCTGTAAATGCCTCTTCAAGGCAAACAGCGACTACTCAGTCACAAAAAAAATGAGGCTTTCTACAGTACGTAAATGAAAATATAACCCAAACTGGCTAAGCCGTTTAAAAAATTAGCGCTGCACACAAACATACGGACAAACACACAAAATTCTAATAATTATTGTGTTGAGTTATGTTGTGATGTAGCAGGGTTCTAGTTTTGTTTCTTGAAAAAAGTATTATACACTAAACTGTTTACATTGTGGGAGATCGTAGCTTCGCTTGGACTTATTACGATGAAGGAGGGCCCAAGACAGCTGACTTTTCTGGGTCTGTGTAGGGATGTTGTATCGAAATGCGGAGCTTAGTAGAGGCGATAAAATTTGAATAACCTACTGACGGCAAATGTTTTAATCCGCCACTGACTAACTGTAAATAATTTAGGTAATAGATAATAGAAGTAGGTGCCTCCTGAAGCTCAGTTTTAATTAGTTCAGGAGACAGAGCTCAGTAGTTTTGTGAAAAATGGTTTATTTGTTCAGTAAAGAATTTTTATCTTTTTATAATATTGACGGAGACGCGAGCGACAGCCAGTCGTGAATAAATCCTTGCGCTGCGCTCGAACGATTTTACGGTACAGTAACGATAGTAATAATGTTAACTTATTTACCGAGTTCAAGTAAGTTCTGTAAATTTAAAAATAACTAGATAAGAGTCGTTGGTGCGTAAACATTTTTTTTATTTAGAACAGCTAACGGCTACCTAATATGTATATGTAGGAAGTGTCAATAGTGTTGATGTTCAACTGATATTGGAGCTCAATTTTATTACATAAAATAATGTCCTTGGTACGAAGCAAGGGATAGTATTGACTAGAGTCGTCAGTGTGTAATGTGTTACTAATTTGCTCATTTTTTAACTCGTGAATTCTTTTTCATTACCATTACTATTTTATTATATATCTTACTAATATTACTATAATAAATATGTTATAAATGCGAATGTTTAGATGGATTTTTGTTTGAAGGTATCTCCAGAACGGCTGAACGAACGTCGATGAAATTTGACATACATATAGAACATAGTATAGAAGAACACATAGGCTACTAATTATGTTTTTATTTTAACTCCACGCGGATGGAGTCGCGGGCAACATTTAATTTAAATATATTTAAGGCGCCCCTGTGCTGGACTATCGCGTTTTTAGAGGGTTGAAGGAGGTGAGGTACAAAGCAAGCGCGCGGGGGCCCGTGCGAATTCGGCAGCGCGCTCTTTATATTTATCTCTAAAATTTATTGCTCGGTAGTCACTACTTTCACTTAGTTCCAATTTGAACGCGCCCGTTGATGTTCCATGACAGTTGATTCGTTCGAATCAATACCACCGCTACCATCTGCGCCAAATTTTCAAAAATCAACAGCCATCCAAAACTTTCCTTTGGTTTCTGATGACCAAAACTACGATATGTACGAAATGTTATCGTCATCCTTATCTTTGACAAAAAGAGATGACAATATGTTGCAAACGAAGTTTTTGGTATCAGAAGCCCAAAGTAAATATGAGCTAATATAAGAGTTGATTTTTGGAAAATTGATGTACTTATTTAAACATATTTGCGTATGCAAATTTTATATACCATTTTTTAATATTAATATTTTTTTGCATTGATTCTTAAAATGTATTAACACGGTAATTATTTTTGAAAAAAAAATACGTAAAAAACTTTTAAAACGTGGACACAATACTTTTTACAAACAAAATAGTACGAGTAATTTCAATTATGAAATGAATACGTACATAACAAATAAATGGCGTTCGACGGGGCACATGTTTAGAGGAAACAAAGAGAAATGGAATAAGTTAGTAACGGATTGGTATCCATGAGATAGCAAAAGAAATAGAGGCAGAAAAAACAAAAGATGGGAAGATGACTTTAAGAAAATACCTGAACCGTTATGGATCCACTAAGCAAGAGACAGGAATACTTGGAAATCTTTAGAGGAGGTCTTTGTCAACCTACAATTTAAACAAGTTGCCGATTACTTAAATACAAGTGAAATTAATTAAATTAATTTCGTAAAAATATTATAAATTGTAAATAAGTTGTGAAACAATAAAGGTTATTTTATTTTAATTAATTAAGTGTTTAGGCTCTTATCGTTTTTTCCTGTAATGTTTTGTTTATTAGGTCGCCGATGTCCATTTTCTGTTCGCACTTTACTACGGGAAATTTTGCTGTAATAAAAGTAGGTGAGACT